ACCAGAGTGCGGCCCCCAACAGCGGCTGACACAGCTTTTTATAGTATTCTGTCCACTAGGGCTCACAGCTTCAAACCGGACCCCTGGTATGCAGTGAACAATAGAAAGGAAAACCAGAATGTGGTTGTAAGATAACAGTTAACAATAACAAACCCAGTAACAGACCCAAGATATGGTTGTAAGATAACAGTGAGGGACACATTTCAGTCAAGCTAGTTCCTGGGAATTTGGCCCACATAGTTTCACAAGATGCACCCTTAGCCATTAGCAAGAAAAGCTAATATGTACAGAAGCAAGAGATCTGCAATTAGCTTTTAGCCACACTCACTGCATTTTGATTTTGACTCTACAATATAAGGCAGTCTTTGGAGCCACTTTTTTTTCGTTTGTTTTTTTAAGATTGAGTGGTTCACTAAGTAGGGATTTTGAAATTCGAAATCATTTATCTTTATACACAGCTTCAGACATTTGCTGGTTTTGTAACTTCATATGATTAAGTTCCAAGGGTTACAGATAGTAAAGAAATCAGAAGTGGCACCTGTTAAAGAATTGCTTATCTTTAGATACAACTATTAGCACATCAAGAGTGAAACTTTATTGTCTATTTAAAAACAGGAGTAGTTAACTCTCTTAACTCCCTCCTTCCCTGAACTGTCAGCCAACAGGAACAGCCTTATGCTGAGAAGGGGGTATTGTATTGAGAAAAAAAATTACTATTGACTGAAACTAAATGGAGATAAAATTAAATACAGCCTTTTCTTCATGGGCATTTGTTTTGTTTGAGCTCACCATAAACTCAGTGTTGCATTGCTGTCAGCGGTACCATGACTTAGGTCGTTTAAAAAAAAAACTTAACTTTTTACGTAAACTATCAAGTATTTGACACAGCCCATTTCACCTTAAGTGATCTTGTCTGCCTTCATTAGTCATCCAAGGCCGATGACTGCTACCAAAGTGAATCAGTATTTTGAATGTGCTTCTCTTGGTATTTGGTTATTAGCTAGCTCCTGTGTGAGTTTCCACCAGACAAGGGCAAATCAGAAGGATGCTGTTTCTTTTAAAATACAAATCACCACCAAAAATGTATATGTACATACTACTCAAGTACTTGGATGCTTTTTAAATTTTTTAAAAGTTATAAACACCAAAAAAATTAACACTGCATAAAGATGGAAAAGGAGAAGATGCAGTTTCTATAATTTTGTCTACACATTTAAGTTACCACGTTGTGAAGTCATATTTGGATTACTCTCAATACAGACATCTTATTAGCACAATTACATCATTTAATTTTTTTCAGTCTTTTTTTAAATTTTTTTTTTAATGAACACAAATTTCCAAAGTACAGCTTATGGGTTACAATAGCTCCCCCCCCATAACTTCCCTCCCACCTATATCATTTAATTTAAGAGCATAATATTGACCAGTGGCCTCTCCAAAGCACATTTTAGGCACTGAAATACAGAGAAAACACATCTGCAAACATATTGTATGGAGTTCTCACCACATATACCCTGTTGGCTTTGTGTTTTGTAGGCTGTTTGTTTTGTATTTTTCTATTGCAAATGACCTCTTTTTTAACGTGATGGTTAAACCCATCTTTAAAACAGAAGTCTCAGACAAGAAAAAGTAGTGTAAGGATTTCATGAAAACTCCTGAGATGTTGAATGTGGAGGCAGCTCCAGACTCTGACTGGGGTCACCACTCCTTGAGCTCTTCTCTAGGTGACAGCTCCAGAGAAGCAGCCTGCGGGTGTTCCTAACGCTTCCTGCACTGACCTCTAAGTCTAGAGTAAGCCCCAGTGAAACATGGAAATGCATATAGAACTGTTAGCTCTTCCATGGTTTTATCATACCACAATACATGAATATAACTTACTTTAATGCAATCAAAGTATCCTATTTTTGTCCATTTAACTTGTTAAAATAATATCCATCTCCTACACGCTGATTTCTTGACCCAAATGGAAAGTCTTAACTTTAGGGTAAGATGGGAGAGAGATGACTACAATGGATGTCTTTACTAAAATACCAATGAATTTCTCAAACAACAACAAAAAGAATCAATTTCATGCTTTCCATGTTTTTTTAAAAAGTTTTATTTGCTTATATGTAAATCAGTGGCAAACACACACACACAAATGCAGAGAGAGAGAGAGAGAGAAAGAGAGAGCGAGCTTTCTTCCATCTGCTGTAGCACTCTACAAATGGCTGCAATGGCCAGGTCTCCCATGTCAGTGCTGGGGCCCAATCACTTGGGACATCTTCGGCTGATGTTCCAGGCCATTAGTATGAAGCTGAATTTGAAGTGGAGCAGCCATGACTCCAACCAGTGCCCATGTGGGTGCTGGCATTGCAGGGGTGGCTTTACCCACTGCACCACAGAGCTGCCCTGTCGTGTGTATGCTTTAAGAGCATCATGATAGTTCACCACATGCCCCGTCCGGCCTCACTCTCACCCTCAGTGCTCTTCTTATTTTTTTATACATTTTTCTTTGAAGTTTTGAAATGACATACTTTCAAAGTACTTTATAAATACTAGCTCAGCACTCCATATATAAAGAATTCAACACGGAGTAAGCAGAAAACCAAGGTTCCTCATCCTAAAGACAAGGCTATGAGTCTCCTCCCAATCCCTCCACCACTGCCAGACCTGAGGTGCACTGGCGCCCCCTGGGGGTCACAGGTGGAATCGTGTCAGCTTTCAATCCCTGATAGTGCAGTTCTATATTTAATCTGAAATGAAATAGAACGTTCTCATTGAATTGAACCAATAGTAGCTTTATTGTTTACATATAATGGCACACAACTAATGGTATCACAACCTCTTGTAGTCATAGACCAAGTGGAAAAATTGAACAGAGCCCTTTATTTCACAGATCTTCCATTGTAGTGGGCAGGGCTGATAATATTCAAACCAATAATGTTCTACCTCTGCCCCTGATATTGGAATTTGACTCCCACAAAATACAATTTGGGGTGCCATACAATATCACCATATGTTTATTAATAAGTTCCTCATATTAATAAGCCCATGTGGATTCTTGCCTAATATTCAGAGAAGAATTCTGAATACTGGCATAGGTGAATGAGGCAGCATGGTACATTTTAAGCTTTTTTTTCAGTGAGTAAGATGCATAGGAGAGTGATGGCCCTGTCTAAAGGAGAGAGGTAGATGTGGGTTCACACCAAGTACCAGGAACCAGCCACGTGGAGGAGCATCTAGGCCAGGAAGCATGGGCGGGTGGCTGAGACACAGGACTGCAGCCAGCCCCTTAGTGGCAAGAAGCCAGGGAAGGAAGGGAGGGGAAAAGGCCAGAAACACCTTGAACCAGGCTTTTAATCCACTTCCAAAGGGGAGTGGTTAATTCACCTGATTGGTGGGTAGGCACTCAGGTGTGGCCAGGTAGGGGCATGAGGTCACACAGGGGCATGGTGAAGGCGTCATCTTCCAGCTCACAAACCTAATCAGTTTTAACCTGTGTGCCTGCCTGCTTCACTCCCACTCTGCTCCATGTGAGAGGCCTGCCCTGGAGCAATGCTACTGCTCAGGACAAGTGAGCAGTGGGTGTTCAAGTCCACTTAGTGCAACTCCCTGTCTCAGCCTAGGCAGGGGCAGAGGCAGAAGCAGAGGCAGGGGGAATATAGCAGGCAGTTCAACATTTGTGTTCCTGAAAAACAAACTAATTGGAGTCTCATTAATGGTGAAAGCCAAATTGTCCTTTAACTGAGGAAAAAGTGTTTAAAATGTCTCATGTTCCTATAGCATGAAACCAGGCAACACACAGGTCAGTGGGAAGAGTCAGTGCCCTGATACTGGAGATAACAAAAGTGGAGCCCAGTTTTAAGAGAGTGTCTTTTATTGTGTCAACAGTTATTTCTAGTATGTTAATTTTCTTTCCTGTTACCATTCTCCACTTTTCAAAAATATTTATTTCTTTACTTGAAACCTGAGCATGGGAAGGAGGTAGAGACAGAAAGATTGAGAGGGAGACAGAAGGGAAGGGAAGGGAAGGGAAGGGAAGGGAAGGGAAGGGAAGGGAAGGGAAGGGAAGGGAAGTTCTGTAATCTGGTCTCTCCACAATGGCTGTAACAGTGAGTTTCAGGACAAGCAGAAGCCCAGAGCCAGAACTGACCCTGGGTCTCCCCTGTGGGGCAGGAATCCAAGAACTTGGGCCATTTTCTGCTGCCTCCCAGGGTGAGCATTAGCAGGAACTGGGATCAGAAGTGGAGCAGTGGGGATTCAAACCAGCCTCTGATGTAGGCTGCTGGCTTTGCAAGTGGCAGCCTTATCCACTGTGCCACGATGCCAGCCTTCCCTCCTCTGAGGATTTTCTTAGGAAAAATATGAAGGTTTCTGGAGAGAAGAGAGAGGGAAGTTGTTTTTCTGGATGTTCCTCAGACCTATGGTGACTCCTCGAACTCGCATTTATCTCTTCCTTTGTATACCTGACTCAGAACTCTGGCTGTAGATGGGAGAGCACACACTTGCGTTCTCTCATCAAAGCACCAGCTTTCTCCTCTGGCAGCTGTTGTATCAGAGGTGAGTGTGGGACAGAAGTCTCGTCTCTCAGAGACCATCTCCCTGGCTGCAGCGGTCTGCTGTGAGGGGACAATGTGAGGGAATCGGAGGACAAGCAGGTAAAATCATTGATCTGAGCATTAACATATAACTAAGTATTCTTGAGAAAAGGGACATTCTCCTACAGAATCTCAACTTAACCATGAATCAATTAAAACAACTTGTCTTCCAATTCACTTAAAGTATTGGAAATGTCCCTCATTGACTTTGGGAGGTGCTGTCTCCTTGTACAAGCATGCTCACTGCAGGTAAACCTGTGCAGCCCTGGTCTGAGCTGGGGCAGCTGAGACACAGCCCCTGGGCTGAGTTCTGAGCTGCCCTGGGCCCTTCAGCTGGGCACAGCCCTGCCCCACCCCTGCTCATTTGCATGTCCCAGAGCACCGCCCACCTCTCTGGGCATTTAGGAGCAGGCTGCTCCCGCCCCATGCAGGAGGCAGTGCCAGGCAGGACCCAGCATGGACACGAAGGCCCCCACTCAGCTGCTGGGGCTCCTGCTGCTCTGGCTCCCAGGTAAGGAAGGCCAACAGCAGGAACGGCCTCGGGCAGTGTGGCCAGGGCTGCCCGTCTCTGCAGGAGTGTCCTCTTAGAATGTGAGGATGAGTGTGGTCTCTGTGTTTCTGTTTCCCTTCTCAGGTGCCAGATGTGACATTGTGCTGACCCAGGCTCCATCCTCTGTGTCCGCAGCTGTGGGAGGCACAGTCACCATCAAGTGCCAGGCCAGTCAGAGTGTTAGTAGTTATTTAACCTGGTATCAGCAGAAACCAGGGCAGCCTCCCAAGCTCCTGATTTATGGTGCATCCAATCTGGAATCTGGGGTCCCATCGCGGTTCCGTGGCAGTGGATCTGGGACACAGTTCACTCTTACCATCAGCGGCATGAAGGCTGAAGATGTTGCCACCTATTACTGTCATCAGCATAGCAGTTACCCTCCCACAGTGATACAAGCCCTAACAAAAACCCCTCAGGAAAGCAGAAGTGTGAGGCTGGGCTGCCCCAGCTGCTCCTCCTGGTCCCCATCTGCTGAGAGTGATTCTCAGAGCAGCCAGGCTTGAAGGTCCTGCAGGGTCGGGTGGAAGGGGCCAGGGTGACTCCTCTGAGGCTCCCTCCTTTCCTCCTCCTTGGAAGCATCAGCACAGTCATGACCATGTCCCCACTGTTTTAAGGAGAGCAATTATTCTACTGGAGTATTCAAGTACTCATTTGGGATTCATACAACAAAAGATAAAATATTATAGATATGGCACAAAAATAGTTTACATCCAAGTGAGTGCATTACTACCGTATCCTTTAATGTCCTGGGAGAATAGCTATTGAAAACATACAAAAAACCTAAACAAACCCTGGCAAGCTGCTTCTGGGGAGGCAGCTTCTTCTAGGAACTGGACCTTCCCATCGTCTCCTTCACATGCCACAAATCAGTAAACTCTCCTTTGAGCAACTTCAGTCGAGCCTGTTGAGTGACACCCCAAGTGAGAAGACCTCTTGTGTCTGCTAACTCCCCTTGTCTGCTGGCTCCCACGCTTTCCTGTCCATCTGCCTTCCACCATGGGTGATGCACCACCAAGATCCTTGCCAAATGCTGCTCCCAGGAGCTTGGACATGTGAGCCTCTAGAGCTGCAGGCCAAGTACATTTCTGTCCAGCAGCAGTTATTGCGTCTGGGGTAATATGCTGTAGCAATACACAATGCATGGACAACGCTCACACTCATGCTTAAGAAAACGTGCATTCCAGCTCTAGTTCTGATGAGGATTCCCTTTTAAAATTTCAGATCCTGAAAGCAAAACTGCTGATGCAGCCCTGGAGCAGAGGTGTAATAAGCTCAGAAGAGTCCAAGAATCAGGGTCCTGAAGAACAAGTTGCATCTTTTGGAGCAACTACAAGAGCTTCTGGATTTCTGTTTCGAAGCTCATGCTTTGCTGATAACACTCTTGCACCTTTGGTTTCAGATCTTTATTTAATTTTTTTTTATAAAAACTCTGTGTCTTGGGTCTGGTGTTGTGGCATAGCGGCCTGCAGTGCTGCGCTCACAGTCCCGGCTTCTTGTCCTTAGCTCTGCGGGCCGAGCTCCAGGCAGGCGGCGGAGAGGACGCCGCGATCCGAGGCTGCGGTGCCCTGTTAAACATGGTGTGTCCTTGGGTCGGGTGTGGGGTGCATCTATCCTACACCTTCTCTTTTTGAGAGGCCAGATGTGCGCCCGTCTGTGAGTCATTTCTGTGGGGCTCGGACGCCATCCTCCGAGTCCTGAAGACTCTGGGCTGGGCTGAACTGGAATCCTTTTTGGGATGCATTTAATTTGTGGAAAGTAGGTGTTCTCTGCTCAGCTTGCTCTTTCTTGGCTTTGGTCAGGGCTCTTCCCTGTGGTTGGGATAAAGGCCTGCGGGTGCGGCTGTGGGAGTGAGGAGCTACGCGGCGGCCTAGCAGGCTCTGGGTGCCCCATAGGTGTGGTGGAGCCCAGCTTGCCTACAGCAGGCGGGGACCCTGGCCCCAGGCCAACTGGTTGGCGACACATTTCCAATGTCGGTATCTTCACGATGTTGGAAACACTGAGGCCCTGGACAAGGCTGGAGTACCGAGGGCGATTATACGTACAAGCATCGTGCTTTCTGTAGTCCTTTGCCTACCAAGCCCAGCGCCAGGGGAGACACCCGCACGATGTTCTCCTGGAGCTGGTGGTAGGACAGGTGGGCCTGGAGCTGGCTGAGAGCCCGGGTGGCCAGCCTGAGGGGGAGGTCTGGGTGCAACACAGTCACTGTCAATGCCAGCACGCAGGCCAGCACCACCAGACCAGTGAGGCTGACAATCACGATGCTGGCCAGGAGATCCAGCGCAGATGAGGTTAGGAAGGCAGGGTGGCTGGGAGGGAAGAGGCCACGCATCTCTAAAGGGAAGACAGCCAGGCTCACCGGTGTCACTGTCATAGACTTGCCCTTGACAATCTTTTAAATCAAATTATAAGTAGGATCTTTTTAAAATTTATTTAGTTATTTATTCAAAAGGCAGAGTGACAGAGAAAGAGAGAGGGAGAGGAGCCAGGAACTTCTCTGGGTCTCCCACATGGATGGCAGGGGCCAAGCGGTTGGGCCATCTTCAGTGACTTCCCTGGCACATTAGCAGGGAGCCAGATCAGATGGGAGCTGGTGCCCCACCATGGGGGGCTTAACGTGCTGCCTTGCAGGTTCACACAGGCCTGCAAGTAGTTTCTTCTCTTGATTCTTTCCTTAAGTCACATCAGGGCTGAGACCAGTTAAATATGCATGCACGCTTCATCTAGACCTACATAGTTACAAATTTTTAGAAATAGGAAGCAAAATTGCAAAATGTTCCTCAGCTGCTACTGTAAATACTACATTGATTTCTTCTGTTAAAGAGATTTATTTATTTATTTGAAAGTCAGAGTTACACAGAGAGAGAAGAACAGGCTGGTTCACTCCCCAATTGGCCGCAACCTCCGGAGCTGTGTTGCTCCGAAGCCAGGAGCCAGGAGCTTCCTCCAGGTCTTGCGTGTGGGGGCAGGGGCCCAAGGCCTTGGGCCATCTTCTACTGCTTTCCCAGGCCACAGCAGAGAGCTGCATCAGAAGTGGAGTGGCCAGGGTACAAACCGTGCCCCTATGGAATGCCAGCATTGCAAGTGGCAGCTTTACTTGCTATGCCACAGCGTCAGCTCCTCCTCTTCTCTTCTTCTTCTTCTTCTTCTTTTTTTTTTTTTTGGTGTGTTTATATTTATTCTTATCACTTGAGAGGCAGAGAGAGGTATCTTTATCTCTCCCAGCTCTGTCCCAGCCGCTCCACTCCCTGCTAATGCACCTGGGAAAGCAGCAGAAGATGGGCCAAGTGCTGGCCCGTGCACCCGCGTGGAAGATCTGGAAGAAGCTCCAGGCTCCTGACTTCAGCTGGCCCAGCCCTGATGGAAGCCCTCTCTCTCTGCGTGTTTCTCCCTCACTCTCTGTAACTCTGCCTTTCAAATACATGAATAAACCTTAAAAAAGAGGAAAGAAAGAAAAAAAAGAAATCTAAGTCTAAAACCATGGCAGTGATGCAGATTTTACTGAGTGCCTGGTGGGCAGGTGAAAGGGAAGGGGACGTGCACACAGCAGCCCCAGCAGGACTCCTGAATTAACCATTCCTTCCTGGTTTTGTCCAGTCTCCTAATCCTCACCTTCTCTTTTCCTCTAACTCCCTCCTGTTGTCCTAGCTGGACTCTTTCACCAAGCCACACAAGAGCCCCACAGTTAGCACCGCAGTGGCACCAAGTGTGGCAGGTGGAGGCTCCCAGCAGGCTCCAGCTCCTGCCCCTACATCATCTGCTGTAGCATCAGTTCTTCGGGCATTCCGTTGTCTCATGATTGGCCCATTTTCTTCTGCATCTCTGGGCCTCACCCCAGTAAAGTGGTCGGAACTCCCTCCCTGAAGTCAGTTGGAGTTGTCTGTCAGGGCCAGCTGGGCTGCCAGCCAGGGCCCCTGGGAGGCCAGGCCTGTGGCTCATTCCAGGCCTGTGTCCCATGTGGAAGTGCCTGGGCTCAGTGCCCCCTCCAGCTCTTGGCTCCAGCTTCCTGCTAATGTGAACCCCAGGAGGCAGCAGTGATGGCTCTAACAATCCGAAGACCTGGACTGAGCTCCTGTTCACTCCTGGGAACATTTGAGGAGTGAACCAGTGGGTGGGAGTGCATTCGCTCTCTCTCCCTGTCTCTCTCTCTCTCCAGGGCCTGGTGGTCATCTATGGGATGTATCAGAGGACAGAGGAGCTCCCTCCCTCTCTTCTCTCTCTCTCTCTCTCTCTCTCTCTCTCTCTCTCTCTCTCTCTGTGACTAGCAATCTCTTTCCCCTCTTCACTCTCACTCAAATAGAATACAAGTTAGAAAAAACAGAGAGACTCCCTGCTTCAACTCCTCAGGACATGCACAGCCTAGAAATGACGAGTCGATGGCTACATCACAGCATCGGATCTAGCTCCTTGGGACATCATCGTGCTGAACCCCAGGACCAGCGTTTCTCCCGAGGAAGCAAGAACTTCATCTCAGGTAGGAAACGAGCCCGGTAACCCCCGCCCCCACACAGCAAGTGGATCGGTGTCTCCTGCAGTTCTTAAGGAGCCCCTAGGGCCCAGCACAGTCGTGCCCAAGCCGTCTTGGGAGAGGAACCCTCCCTGGGGAGATGACCCCTCCTCTAGGAAGCCCAGGGACATTGCACAGTGTGATTTCTCCAGGATTTCCTGCAGCGCTGGTCCCTTCCTCAAGGCTAGGAAGAAAGAACCAGCACCCCAGGAATTCTCACTACACTTTTATTAAATAAGGTGAAAAAACAATAGAGTATGAGAATTTTGGGATTGTTTAGCATAGAGCTCAGGTGAAAGCCCATCTCACTGAAAAGATTTGAGTTGTCTTTAGAGGCTTTTTGTTTGTTTTTATTGAGTTGAAAGGTAGAGTTACAGAGAAGCAGAGGCAGAGAGAGGCAGAGAGAGAGAGAGAGAGAGAGAGAGAGAGTCTTCCATCTGCTGGTCCACTCCCCAGAGGGGCGCAACAGCAAGAGCTGGACTGATCAGAAGCCTGGAGCCAGGAGCTTATTCCTGTCTCCCTTGCCATCTTCTACTGCTTTCCCAGGCACTAGCAGAGAGCTGGATCACAAGTGGAGCAGCCAGGCACCAAACCAGTGTCTCTATGGGATGCAGCACAGCAGGCTGCAGCTTTACCTATTATGCCCCAGCAATGACCCCAAACGTTTGACTTTTCTAAGGCAGATAAATAAAGATGAAACACAGGGTACTTCCAAAATTTCACGGAAAATATAC